CAGTTCAGGGTACAGGCATAATTCAGACACAAACTGCAGGGTCTACAGTTTGTGAACCACCTGGATCTATGTCTCCAGTCTGTTCAGGACACAGAGAGTAACCAGATGCAGTCCAGATGGGTAGCAGTCACAGACTTCCCCAGCGTTCGACTTGCTAAAGGGTCTGGGCAAAGGCAAAGCATGGACTTGAACTGTGGCCCTGGCAGCTCCTGGAGCACTTGCTTGCTCAGTGCAGGATGTGCAGGGGCTGGGAGAGTCTACACGCCCCACCCTCAGACAGAGAAGTCCCTGGGGCTTCTGAGTGAGGACCTCCTCTCTGCTGTGGGTACATGGAGGGCAGAGACTCATTCTGTAATGGCAGCGGGGTCCTGGTTTGCCTGCTCTGCCCTCATGGAATAGATGGGAAATACTAGGCTCTCTCCATGCATTTCAGCTCCATGCATTTCAGCTTGGAACTGTAGTGGTGTGGGCTAAGCACAGACTTGAACGCACGGGTCTAGCAGCTCCTGGAGCACTCCCTCTCTCAGCACAGGGAGTGTGGGTCTCAGAGAGCCAGTTTTTCCTTTGGCAGTGCTTTCCATTCACTTGTGCTTCCCTTCTGTTCATCATAGTTGAAGACCTACCAAGTCTGATGCTCTGCAGGGCTATCACCAACTGGTGGATCACTTGCACTGGGTTCTTCATGGTCTTTTCACCAGGGGTAGGTCTAGCTCCCGGATATTATACTGAAGTTTTGATATCTACAACCATTTACATTAATACCTGTGATTATGAGGGGCTCTTTAAAGTAGAGCCTGAGCGAAAATTGGGTGTATGTGTTGGTCATGAGAGTTGATAGAGGAAGGAAGAAGGAAGAGTTAGGGTGATTAACAGAATGTAAAAATGTCATAGCTGAAGATGTGGACTGCATACCAGGGGTCTGAAAGCAAAGAAAATGTCTCTAAGAAAGAGAAAAGTCTGATGCATTCATCTACCTTTATTGACTTCTGTAATATTCCAGGGCTGCAGTTATAGACTGGGGGGCACTGGTAGTTTCTGAGAAATTGTTGCAGAAATTTGAAAGACATCTTATGCTTTTGGAGTGAGACACTGATAACAGTGCAAATACAATCTAAAATATACATGGAGTCTTTGATTCAGATGTAGGTGGGAATAATTCAATGAAACAGCTCGTATAAAATCTTTTAATTCCAATCTCACTTACTAATGGTGTGGCATTAGAAAATTACTGAGCCTCTGTAAAACTATTTGTTTTCTAATCAATTAATGTGACACTGATAGTAATCTCATCAGGAGGGTCATGATATATAATGATTATTATTTATAGTAAATTATATAACTCCTCTCAAATGTATTCGGTAGCATACTAGATCTACAAAGGCACTGAGGAAAATAGGAACTTATTTGGTACAGTTTAGATAAAGGTACACATGAAATATACCTAATGATCATGATATTCAATGTACATGATGTTTTTAAAGACTTATGAATTGATTTTTTTTTAGGAAATATAACACTTGCTTTATTTAAATATGAATCTCCCCTTCCTTTTCTTTTTTTGCATCTTCCCTACTTGCTAACATCACAAGTAGTACCTTTAGATACACATTTTAAAGTCCGAAAATAATTTGTGTAACTTTTATCTCAGTGATGATTGGCTGATAAATATAAACAGTGCATGTTACTGAAATAATGAAGTGGAGTGAAGCTGCTATCTTCAAGCCTTGAAAGGTATGTTTGTGTGGATTTTACAGAACATAGTCTTTTATTTTACAGATAATTTATTGATAGTGGTCAATGGGGAGGTGTGAGGGAAATTAGCAGGACAAGAAATCTTCTACTGAGTATACTAGATTTTAATTCAGATCCTTATATTTGATATCTTAGTATACATTGGTGAAAGCTGAGTTTCAAACATGACAAAACTTGAAAAAATCCTAAATTTGACAAAAGTTACTAAATAATTTTGAGTTGAGTCCATTTAGTGGTACCAACCTGACAGTTTTCCTGGGGTGCAGACAATCTGAAATATGAGGAGGCCAATCATTTATTTCTTCAAAGTTGGATATTGAAGAAATCACTCCCCTTTGTAATCAACCTACAGCATACTTTGTTTCCAAAATATATTTTCCTGACTTTTCCCACTATTTTCAGAAAGAGAAGTGACTCTTGATTGAATGCACCTTCACCACCCCAGGGAAATCATGATTAAAATTACCAGGAATACATCAGTGTCTCATGTTTACACTGAAAATATTTTGGGGGAAGTTGTGTATTAAGGGTCTTGCTAGTGGGAATAATTTGTCTAGTCAGTGATTCACATTCAATCTACACTGATTTTGTGAAATATAAACAAACACATGAAGATTCTCTTCCCTAAACAAGCCTTCATTTTTCTTGTGGAGCCCTCAAAAACCCTACCTCTCATTGTCCAGACCACCCCAAATCTCTGCTTTTTTCCTACAGACAGACTAGTTGGAGTTGTACCTCAGTTTGTAGAACTGGTGACTTCCAGTGGGCTGTAAATTCAGCTCTCCATATTTCATTTATTCTTGTTGTGTTCCATTACTTTTTACAGAGCTGTCCATGGAAGGATTGGCTACCAGTCATTGATATAAAAGTATCATTAAATAAACAATTGTGCTTATGTACTTAAGAGAGGAAGGATCTTTAAATGTGTCCCACAAGAAATAGTGAATTAAATATATCACTTGACACTGATTTGTAGCAAAGGGAGCAAACTGTTGATTAATATCTGACATTTTACTTTTAGCATTGATCTTAACTCTATTCTGGGTATAAAACAGTCATTTAACTTCTAGTTTTTATTTTGTGTACCCTTTGATTTACATTTAATATCCTGCTTAGGTTGTTTCTTTAAAATTCTTTCAGAAAAAGCTTATTTTTCTTTGGAGATGGAGTGACTACATCACACCAGCACAGTTTTAGCCTTTGTACATGTAGAATTTTTCCTTCTAGATCAGTGATGGGAAACCTTTGAGGGTTTTCAAAGACACAAACAGCCCACTGTGGCACAAGTGCCATAGGTTCATTGCCAGTACTCTAGTCATGACTTACTCTTCGAGGAGAATGTGCATAGTTTTAAACTTGAAACAAAGATTTGACCTATTTAACAACTTTATACGCTTCTCCAACTCTCAGATGCAAAGGATATTTATTTTGCTTTTTAGATCCAGAATTATACATGTATTTACTTAAGGAGAATTATGTCATTTAATAGAACTAGCCCACTGTATAGTGACATTTAAGATTCTAAGACTTTCATTTTATTAGTTCTCTAAACAAAATTATTGAGTTAATTATAAAATTTCCCATTTTTGTTTTATAAAATTAAGTTGTAATGTAACTTAGCTGACCACAATTTCTGATTTATGTTTTATGAAGAGGCCTTCAGTGCCAAAGACTTTCCTTAGGGCAGCCTTCATCTCCTTGTTCCTCAGGCTGTAAATCAGAGGGTTGAGGAGGGGTGTTATCACAGAATACAGTAAGGCCACAATTTTTTGAACTTCTACTGGGTGTCTTGATCCAGGGCTAACATACATCACCATAACAGAGCCAAAAAACAGAAACACCACAGCCAGATGAGAAGCACAAGTGGAGAAAGCCTTGTTTTTGCTTGCTGCTGAAGGCATCTGCAGCACAGCCCAAATCACCAGTGCATAAGAACAAAGGATAAACAGAAAAGTGCCAATCATGAAGATAGCATTGAAAGCAGAGTAAATGACCTGAGTGGTGGTGTCCTCAGAACAGGACAGCATCATCAATGGGACAGGATCACATATAAAATGGTTAATGATATTAGGGCCACAGTAGGGTAGCTGTGAAATGAGAACAACTGGAGTTATGAAAAGGATCAACCGAGAGCACCATCCCAAGGCAACAAGGCCAGTGCAGAGCTGTCTGGTCATGATGTATGGATAGTGGAGAGGGCAGCAGATAGCAAGGTACCTGTCAAATGCCATGATACAAAGGTACAAACCTTCATCACACCCAAAGGAGAAGAAGAAGTAGAATTGAGCAAAACAGCTCACAAAGGAGATGGACTTGGTTGTGGAGATAAAGTTGGCTAACAAGTTAGGGACAGTTGTGGTGGTGTAGCATATTTCCAGGAGAGAGAAATTCCCCAAGAAGATGTACATGGGGGTGTGAAGGTGCCTGTCTCCCCTCACTGCACAGGCGATGACAGTGTTCCCCATGAGGGTCAGCATGTAGGCTACTGAGAAGAGCCCAAAGTAGAGGAGCTGCCTTTCTGGGCTTGAGGGGAAGCCCAGGAGGATGAAGTGGGTAACGGAGTTCTCTTTCTTGGACACATTTATTGATGTAGAAGACATGTAGATGACAGAGGTTATTGCAAGTTAATATAGAATGTTGATTTTTCCTAGAACATCAAATTTATTATTAGTTTTGTATGATAGTAAAATAATCAAACTGTTTCTTAAGCAATAAAACTGAGATTTGCATGAGCCAGCCATGAACAATTGACATTGTTTAAATAAGTCACAAACATTAAAAGGAGGGAGAAATGAATTTGAGACAATTTTATCTTGATAAGAACTGTGACCTAGATACTAGAAATGTTGTGATGTTGCCTGGCCAGGTGGTTTAAGAGCCTTTGTAATTAATTTGGAAAATTTTTGAGAGACTGGCCAAAGAGGCAGCCCCTGTATGCTGTAAACTATATTGGAGTATCTAGTCAGAGCCTGGAAAATCAGAGTACTGATGGAAATACTTCCTGTTAAGATGAAGCTCAGGAGGCTTCTACTGAGAAGGACTGCATTTGGCTGTTGGATCCCAGGTAATGTATTGTGCTTTGGCAGAAATTTGGCCCTCATCCTGTTTGTATTTAGAGATACTGCCTGGGTAGCAGAAAAATTTCAACGTAGTCCCCTGTTGGGACAGTGACATGGTCACTATTGAGAGGTTTTTGCCAGATCTGTGTTTGAAATTAAGAATGAAGAGCCAGCAGAATGATATAAAACTTTTGGCCAAGGGGGAGGCTATAGTGGAGCTGTGGATTGCAAGAATGAAATAGAGGAGAACATGACTGTTAAGAACAGAACAATAGGAAAATAAACTGAAGCCTTTCACTTGAAGATAAGAGTAATTAAATGCAGGAAAGCCCTATTTTTAGTCTTGCCATTCCTTGTTAAAAGTTAACAGAAAGCAAGGACTTTGTAATAGTTCTTTTAACTTGATGCAAATGTCGTTTTTAGATATGTTTGTAATCAGGTTAATTAATCACAATATTGTGTTTTAACCTTGAATTTTGGTCACCCTTTGAATATTTTGCTTTTGGTGCAGGAACGAGTGCCATATCTATCTATCTATCTATCTATCTAGCTAGCTAGCTAGCTAGCTAGCTAGCTAGCTAGCTGTTAAATTGATGTAAATCTGAATAGATCAAGACATGTTAACTTTTCATAAATCTGCCCCTCAAGACCATAGTTTAACTATGGTTATCAAGTTGACCGGGGTGGATTGTGGTAGATTGACAACAGGTGATCAACTTGTAGCACCCAGCTGAACTGAACCTGTGTGGTGTTGGGTGTGGGAGGTCCACCTGAGGACTGTTGCCAATAGCATAAGAGGCAGAACTGGAGAAGAAGAGAAGCTGTTGGGAGCTATTGTTTCTCCTGGAACTGTTGGTTCTCATGCTAGTTCTCCTGATGAACACAGCTGTTCTCACCACTGAAGGAGCTTGGGATATTATTGTCACTGGGAATGGCTACAGTTCAATTTGGGTGAGCTCTGGTCCTTACTTGAGCATTGCTTCCTGGCTCCAGAGGGGAAGATGGTGTACTGTTCATTGTCCTGGAGAAGCTTGTTGTGCTGGCTTTCCTGTTATGGACTTGGCTGTTCTCATCACTGGAGAAGCTTGGGACCTTGCTGTTGCTGAGGATGGCTGTGGTACTTTTTGGGGGACCTGTGGTCCTTACTTTGAGTATCACTTCCTGGCTCCAGTGCAGATCCCTCAGCCTGCTAGCTCAGATACTTCATCTTGTTGGCACAGACTTTCTAGCTTCCACCACTGACCCTGGGGCCTTGTTAGCACAGATCCTTGAAACAAACTTGCACTAGACATTGTTGTGGGCTCTTGGTCTCTAGTTGGACTGGTGAGAGGCATTGTTATGAGCTCTATATCTTCAGCTGAATTCATGCAGAGCACTGCCGTGGGGTCCAGGTCCTCAGCTGGATTATTTTGGTCTTTAGTGTGTGGACAGATTTCCTGCAGTCTTGTATGTGACTCTTTGGGTGACTATTATAAAATAATTTTACAAACTATGTGTCCTATATTAAACTGTGGTCCCCTTGCAAACCTCAAACTACAACAGAGCCAAATAAATGAGAGATGATAGGAAACAAGATGGTAGATGAGAAGGAGAAATGGAGATGGGAGGAGAGGAGGAGAAGCCCACAAAAGGAAGTAGAAATAAAAATGATTAAGCAGCCATATGTATATTTACCAATTTCCTTAGATGAATATCATCAATCATTATACATGATAATCATATATCAATAAAAAGGTACATACTTGTAACTTTGGTAACTCACATTTTGTATGTCTGCATTTGTTTACTTCATATTATAAAGTACATATAAATCAATGTGTGTTAAATTCTTTGTAAAGTATCATATACTTATAACTTATTATGAAAGTGATAATGATAATAATGCTAAGTAAAATGCTACTCATGTTAAGACATTTGAAATGCTCCTGTCTCACAGTGATACAATGTGTGGCATGGGTACACTTTTCTTTGTGCCATCCAGTGGCACTGAAAATTGATGGTTAAAAGGACCTCTCTTTGGCCCTACATGTAGTTTTCTTTATGACTGTACTCAATGTATAGTTACTATTGATGAAATGCTTCCACTCTACTGTGATGGCTTTGGGCCCACAGTCTAGAGGAAAAGCCTTATGTTTTGTCACCTAAAATTCTCTAGTTGAAAATTTTTATTCATTTCAAGTAAGTGTAAAAATGCAATATGCCAAACAGGGCAACTGACCTCAGGAAGAGAACATTTTGTGAGTGACTAGACTGCTCAATGTGGATGATTTTGCTGCAAAAACATTAGAAAGTAGCCAGAAACTTTGTATACTTTGTGTGTGTGTGTGTGTGTGTGTGTGTGTGTGTGTGTGTGTGAATATTTAGTTTCCAATTCTCTCTTTGTAGTTTATATCTGTATTTCTTGTCTCTATGTAACACACAACTCTGGCGCTTCTCATACCCCGTGTAGCATTTCCTATGGCAATAATCTTCAAGTGTACAGTATCTACTTCACTCACTCCTTCCACTCTCTTGCATTTTGGTCTAACTGAAAAGTAGCTTAGCTATTTTATGTTTTGTTGTACTAGGACCTTGATACCATGTTTAGGACTTAAAGTGGAAGGACTATTGTTATCAGCACCTGTGGTTTAACTATCACTAATATTTCAAAAAATTGCATCTGTACTAAACAAGTATGTATATAACTAATTTCTTGTCATTATTCCATAAACAATGTTAGATAGCAACTGTTTACCTGGCATTTACATTCTATTAATTATATTATGTAATACAATGTTTATGTTAGGAGGTGGTTTGGAATGTAGAGATTTTATGTAAGTATAACACCATTTTCTATAAGAGCTTGAACATCTGTATTTACAGGGCTTTTGGGATTCAATTATACATGGAACTGAAGGAAGACTGTACTATCTGTATTTTGCTGTATACACTGTAAGAGTTCTGAATGCAGCCTGGTGATTTAGTTCACATATCAGTCACATTGCAACAAGTGGCAAGGTATGGCAAGTAATATATTTTCTCAACTTACAAGAGTTGTTTAGTTTGTATTTCCTTTTTTTCTGGTAGACATATGTTTTCCCTAGAGCTGTTGTGTTTGTGTAGTAACTTTAAAATAAAGTGCTCATGTATGTTTTCTAAACTTGTTTCTTTGGTGTTAGGGCTTCACTGAGGGCCTAAGCATGTGCTCTACCACTGAACTATATCCAGGACTTATTTTTACTTTCTGTATTGAGAAACTGTATAATTTTCTCAGCTCAGTTTTTTTGTACAATATTTGAAAATGAATAAATGTCATTTTTGTTGAGACAGCAAGCAACTATGATAGAGCACATTGATCATTTCTAAGATATTAGAAATGAAAAATAGTGTGCCTTCCAGTTGAAAACATTTAAATTGTACTTATACACATATATTGAGTACAAACTATGCATAAACAGAAAGAACATTAATGTTAAGGTAAGAGACACTATCAATAACTATTCTTACTGTGGTATGCTTACAAATTAATATCCTTAATTCTTTCATTGAAGAAGACAAATTCACTTCAATACCACACATGACTTAGTGGTTATTTAATTTATTCATAATATATTGACTACATTTTAAATCGTATTTTATTTTAGTCCCTTACCACTGACCTGTGTCTTAATTCCTTAGGATTTAACTCCCAGCTTAGTTATTTTCACTAACAGTGAATCCAAAAGTCATGTATAAAATCAAAGTCATTACTCACCCTGCTTGAACCTTCTGTTACAGTGTTTCTTTGGGACAATAATTGTAAAAGGCACAATCCAGAAGTCTATATACGCAACAAAAAATACACAGTAAATGTGTTTGTCATTTAAAAGAGGGTTCTTTACACAAAACAAAATACATTAAACCAGTATAACTGAAACAGTATGTAGCTTTGGGAGATAGGCTATCAGAGTGTAATCAGGAATTTTCTGTGTTTTCTTTGCTAAGCAAGCATCAAAATTAATATTATATGGTAATAAGTCTACATCAAGAAATTCTTAGTTACCAATTTTCAAATAAAATCTCTTGGTCTCTTCATAAAGAAATTTCAGTATTCTAAAGCATTAAGAGACTAGAGAAATGTATTTTTCAATACTCAGGAACACAAAATTACATTAATATTTTAAGCATATGTGTCTAAATTTTACTTGAATCAATATTTACATATTCAGAGCAAAAAAAGACATCATAAAATCATGTATGCAGAATACTCAACCATTTAATGTAGTAAAGTATATAAAATTTAACTCATTTCTGAGTAAGTTCTATGCTGAGAAGTTCAAGGAGGAAAATAAAATATTACTCCACAAGGTAAAAAACATGTGACGCCCTTCTGATGAATTGGATAATCCAGTTTGCAATGGGTCATGAGTTCTAAAGTGTGAATTTTAGATTTTTTTCTCTGCAGCTTCAGGTGGGCAAGATAAATGCCCAGATGAAAGCACTGTTTCTACTTATTTACACAACCAGAACCTTTTGAGATTTGAAGCCTGCCCTCTTGATAA